GCCTCGCTCGCCCTTCTCCGCCGGGTGGCTCTGTCCAGCCTTGCCTCACGATGCGCTCGGGGCTGCTCCTCCTGCTGGCCCTGGCTCTCGGGGTGACCGTCTCGTGGGCTGCCAGCCGGACCCCATACCAGCAGATCCTGCACCATAGCCGGATCCGGGGCAGGCATCAAGGGTAAGGCGCGGAGCCGGCTGGGGAAGGGACCGCGGGAGAGGGCGCGGGAGGTCTCTGGGCACGGGAGACCGTCCCCCCGGCCCGCTGGCGGGCGGCGGAGCCAGGGCGGGATCCTTGTGCCCCGGTGGAGGCGATAAAAAAAAGGGACTGGGTATGAATGTGTGCCTGATTTATGTAATCTGAATTTATCTTACGAATTTCTTTTTGGATCTGATTACTGACAACTCGTCAAACGTCTAGCCAACATTTAAAGGGGAATGGGATCATTCCCCTTTAAAAAGTTGCCCACACTTTTACCATTCTGACCACTTTCTAAACACATTCCTCTGCCCCTTTCACAATTCAGCTTTGTCTGTTCCCACACGAAGCGCAGAGATCTTTGCACAAAGTATGAACTAAAACAGTCTGCTGCATCCATGTGTAGATCTGTGGCACCCTAACCCATGAAACCTTATTCCATAACAAATCTCTTGGTCTTTAAAGTACCACAAGATTCTTTGTTGTTTTAGCACCCGAAGAGAATTGCCCAGGATTCCCTCCTAAAGCCACAGGTAGCAATACATTTACCCTTTTGAAAAGCCTTCTGTCTTGATGTCATTGGAATGGCCCAGTAACAGGGAAGTCAGTCACTCTTTTCCATCCTGGTGCAGATCAGCTAGAAGACTGATCCTCACCATGGACATTCCTTTCTCCTAGTAGGAAAGGCACGGCTTGCTTGAGAATCATCCCCTTTCTTGAAACCTCATGGCTATTTCCTGCTGTCTCATCCCTTGCTACCAATGAAGAACCCCAGGATCCTCCTAGGGCCGCATACCACTATTTGAGAACATGAGGTTGGGCATATTGTGAACCACAATCACAGAGGACTGTCACCTGTAGTTTATAGGATAAGAATCCCGAGAGAGACAGTTGACATAAAATATATACTCAGGCTAGATACCCATCTCAATGGACTCAATATAAGCCAGGGCTTTTTTGGGCAGTACAAAAGATGAACACTACAATAATTGTACTGTACAGTGTATCCCAGATATAATTGCCTCCTCAAAAGATCCACCTAAAACACTTCAAAACTTCAAAGGTAAACAAGAGAGTTTTAACTCATTGCCATGTTTCTCTTGTGGTTATTGTGATGTGTGAATTATCCCCGATAACCTCCTATAAAGAAAAGGTAATTAGCAACCATAAAAGGACACTCTCCTCAGTATAATTAACATTCATGTTATTCTATAATTGTTATTCATGACAGAAGTTCTTATATGCTTTACAGCACAAACCTCAATAGAATATATATGTATATTAAAGAGAATATCACCCCATTCACTTTCTTACCAACCAACCAACCAACCACCCAACCACCCAACCACCCAACCACCCAACCACCCAACCACCCAACCACCCAACCACCCAACCACCCAACCACCCAACCACCCAACCACCCAACCACCCAACCACCCAACCACCCAACCACCCAACCACCCAACCACCCAACCAACCAACCACAATCTCTATATTTTGATGCCATGTATAAATAGTTGCCATGTTATTTCTCTCTCATATATGACTGAGGAAGTGGATTTGTCCATGAAAGCTTTCATTAAAATAAAACAGTCTTTGAGGTGCCACCACATTTTTGTCTTTTTAAAAATTCATTCATTTTCATTTTTCTTTTTACATATAATGCTTGCACAAACTAACACGGCTACCTCTTTTACAACTACAGTTTTAAAATCTGTTATAGTCTAGGAGTTAGGATCTGTTACTCTAGCTGTTTTTGTGTGTGTGTGTGACAGGTTTGGGCAGGAGAGATGATATGAAGGAAAGGGTGAGACATAAAGATGAGCACAAAGAAAGGACAGGATTCTGACATCTGTTGTCCCAGTGTCCTGTCTTAGCAGCCCTTCCTGTAGCTTTTATGATATGTGCTTCCTGACCTCATGTTTCAGGCATGGGCAGGCTTCAGACTTGCTGGACACTGGCAACCATCTTTTCTGCATATTCTCTCCTCCCATGCGAAAACTTTAAAATAGCAACCCATAGATTCAAGCATTAGGCTGAAAACAACAGAATAAAATTTAACAGGAATACTGTAAGTGCAAAGTTTTACACCAAGAAAAAGAAACCAAATGCATAATTACAAAATAGGAAATACTTGGCTCAGTAATATTAAATTCAAGAAGGATTTTGGAATTGTGGTAGAACAAAAGCTGAATATGAGCCAAGAGTGGTATGTGGCTACAAAAAAGGGCAATGCTATTTTAGGCTGCAATGAAAGAAGTATAATCTCCAATCATATGAAGTTCCCCTCTGTTATGCACTGGTTACGCCTCATCTTGAGTACTTGTCAAGTTCTGGACACCACACTTTTAAGAACAAACTGGAACAAGTTCAGAGGCGGGCAACAAGGATGATCAGGGGACTGGAAGCCAAGTCCTATGATGAAAAACTGAAAGAACTGTGCATGTTTGGTCTTGGGAAAAGAAGACTAAGAGGAGATATGATAGTACTCTTCAAATATTTGAAAGATTGTCATACAGAGGATGAGCAGAATAGGTTCTCAATCATTAAAGACTCCAGGACACATAATAACAAGCTCAGGTTACATCCTGAAGTTAATTTGGTTGTTTCTTGTCCACTTCCAGTGCACTTTGGTCCAGTGCCACCCCTCTGTGGCTGAATACCAAATGCTGAACTGCATGGAGCACTAGTCTTGCCCCACATGGCAACTGCATGTCAATTCATGTTCCTCTACAGGACAGTGTTAGAAATGGTTTAGGACAGAGCTTGAGAAAGTAACATGATTGGACTTTAGACCCCCAAATAAACAATGGTCATGCTAGCTAAGTGATTTTGGGGAGTGTGAAGTCCATAAAAGTAACTTTTCCAATTTATCATGGGTCAGAGGCATACCCATAACATCTTTCCACCTTGGTAGGTGGAAAGGTATGGCTGAACAATTTGCCACTATAAACTGTAAGGCCACCAGAATGTAGGTTTTGTGTGATCTGAGATTAGTAGAAGTCTTACTATTTACATAAGAAACATTTACTTTAAAATGTTTTTATTAATTAAAGACAAACAATAAGAACAATACTAACATAAAGTGTGATGCATACATACCATGCACTAATACAAAATCCCCTCCCTCCCCCACGGTGCTATCATCACCCTCGGGACGAGATAAGAAAATATTTTCTTTTAATCACTTTTTCACCCCATTCCATTCAAAAAATACATTGATTCTTCTGCTGGCTTTTGACCTTTCCCTTTTACCAAAACATAATTCAAATATGGATTCCATATCTCTTTAAGATCATTACATTTTGTCATTCACATTCTTACTTTTATTTCACATATTAACTTATCATTTATCCCTAAACTCTGCATTTCTTTATGCCAATCTTCAAGATAAGAAACATTTCCAGCATCTGTTATTTTGGTACACTTACTTAGTTGCAAAACTACTTTATTTCTGAGTTATAATTCCCAGTGACTAGCTGTCCTAATGAAAATGCACAATTGTAATTATAATATTTTAGACTATGTATTCTTTTTGTCTGGGGAAGAAAAAATCATCTAAAAAATATTCTACACCTGCCTTAGTGAAGAAGACGCTCTTTCAGCTCACCTAATAATAGCCATTTTGTTTTGTCATCTCCTGGAAAGTTAAAACCACACACAAACATTTCTGTTATTATAGACACACTGTTTCTTTTCAGATTTATTATTGACAATGTATCTTTGAACATCAGAGTATGAATAAGAAACTCAGAACATCTCTCTCTTATTTACTTCCTCTTTCTCTCTAGTCCGAATGTGTGTGCTGTGCTGAAGGTCATTGGAACAAACAGGAAGTACTTACCGAACTGCAAACTGTGGTACCAGAGGAAAATCTGTGGCAAACAAACGTAAGTACTTGTGAGCTTTAAAGATCACACTGTTAAAAAAAGTAGGTCTTGATTGTTCCAGATTAAAGCCATACATAGCCCACCTCCCATGCTTTTGTTTTCCTTCTTTCTCCTGTTAGGTTGTTGTTTCCTTGTAGTAGCTGACAAGCAGTAAAAACAAGAGGATCTTGAAGTTCTTGGTTGTGCATGAGTAAGAAAAAAAATTGTGATTCCCTCCCTCTGGTCCTGATGATTGGTCCAAACCAACAAAATAAGAATTGTGCTTTCCTTGTGTGTAAGCCCAGGCTTGTTTCTGGTTTGTGAGCTGAGTGGTCCTACAGAGTGAACACAAAAGAAGGATCTGAAGTAGAATGTCACATGAATTAGGATGCTTTGCATGCAGGAAGTCCTCAGTTGAATCTCCAGTATCTCCAAAGTCGGCCTTGTTGTTGCTGATGCTGCGGTGTGTTGTCAAGTCACCTTCGACTTATGGCTGCCCCATGAATGAGCAATCTCCAACATCTGTCCTCAACAGCCCTGCTCAGCAAACTCAAGCCTGTGGTTTCCTTTAGGAATTAATCCAACTTGTATGTGGTCTTCCTCTTTTCCTGGTGTCTTTAACCTTTCCCAGCATTATTGTCCATTCCAGAGAATCCTGCCTTCTCATGATGTGGCCAAAGTAGGGCAATCTCATTTTCATCATTTTTGCCTCCAGAGATAGTTCAGGCTTGAACTAGGACTCACTTCTTTGTGTGGCTGGTAGTCCAGGGCATCTGCAAATCTCTCTTCCAACGCCACATTTCAAATGACTCCATAGTGGACTTTGCTTGACCTGAAACTCAGAAATGCTAGCTTGTATTGCTAACACTGAGTGATCAAGACCAATGGTCAGGCTCAGTGTAATGTAACTTCCTAACCATAGTTATTTGTTTTTGCTGTTAAATTTATAGTCCAGCCACTGGTGCTCAGGATGATAGTGCACACGCAGTAAAAAAAACAGGCAAACTCAACAAAAAACCAAAATACAAGATAAAAAAGAATAAAAGGAAGGCAAATGGTCTTCTGGGAATGGTAGTCCAAAAGTAACTTCTCCAAGCCCTGAGGTGTTTAGTTACCTTGTGTGAAGTGGATTCAAGATTTACTAATCTCTCTTTTTTCTTGAGTTATTTTTATTACACAACACAGAAACCATTTCCTTTGTTTTATATCTATGAATAGCAAAACAAGGATTACCTAATGGGGAAATAAGTTCCACTTAGAAAACTTGTTCTTGCTTTCATGTGTAAAGTCACTGGAAGCATGTCTTTGTTTTTGTCACGATTGCACATGTGTAGAGAAAAGCTGTGCAAGATGATGAGGGGCTCCCTTGGCCCCTTCAGCCACACGAGGGAATCTTAGAAGCCAATCCAAGGTCTGTCCCGGCAGATGTTAGTGTTCAACAGTCATTTCATACAGCTTCCTGTAAAAGTGGCCTCAACATGTACGCTTGTCAGGGGCAGCCTGCACCTAATTAAGAACGCATACGGGGCTGGCTGACTGCCAGTCTTGAGATGAAGTCTGCTAGTTTTCTAGGGAAGGTGTAACCTCCATAAGGTCACACAAACGCCAGAAAATTGGAGTTGAGGGGGGAGTAAGACAGGACAAGCTCATAAATGGCCATGATAGACTCCAGACAGCAACTTCTGTGTTTGTCAGCAATCATGGTAAAGAAGTTGTTGTGTAAGTGAGATGAATGCAGGAGTTAGAGCAACATTTGAAAACCAGAAATGGAGACATGTCTCATAAGTAAGTGTATTCTTGATTGTACTTCCCTGATGGTGGCAGGGTGGGACATTATCTCACACTCGCAATCCCAAATGTTTTTGAAAATTTTGCATAGTATTGTGAAAAGTGTGTTGCACATTGATTAAAGGTGTAGTGCCTGTCTTGGGAAAAAGACAGGAACCAAGTATTAACCCTTCCTCCCTTCTTGGGCTAGGAGATTCTTCTTTTATTAAAGCCAAGTTGAATTACTATTACTGTAGTAACCGCTGGCATATGTTTCAAGAATAATTGAAGATGAAGCACTGGACTCAGTACTTTACAGACATTCTAACTGATCTATGTATAGAACAGAACCCAGACAGTGTGGTAGTCATGAAGAAGACTCCTGACATTCAATATTTTGGAAAATGTACCAGTGTAGGAACACTGGTTCAGGAAAATCCAAATTATCGAGAGAGTAAAGGAGGTGTCAGAGAGGAAGAAAAATAGTCTGACACAGAGAGGCACACTTAGAGAAAGAAAGAGACACTCCACCCACGATTACCTCTAGTTTTGTCTGACTAGCAGCTGGTTGAATTTTCCTATGGGTCAATGGTCCCCATAGGAAAGGATGCCCCATTTCAGCTCTAAAACATTCTAGAAGTCATGGCCCGTTGGATGCTTTTGGTCCCTGTAGGGGGATGATGCATGTAGTAATTTTAAATTGAGCAGCGGAATGAATTATTTTAGATATATTGTTTGATTCACGTGCTTTAATGGTGTAATTCCACTGGATCCTATTTCTTCCCATAGAATCTGCAATTTTGCCTCCTTTCCTGCACCCACCCTTCTCTGAAGGCTGGGAAAACCTCTGGAGTAGGCTTTTCGCACTGTGAGAGGTTGCAGTAGATAGGAGAGGAGGAGAAAACCCCAAATGCCACTAGTGTTGGGTACAGAACTTGGCCTAGATGTTGGGCTGTGTGATTTTTGGGCTTGTTTAGACAAAGGTTCCCCTTGACAATTTTTGTCCAGTCGTGACTCTAGGGGGCGGTGCTCATCCCCATTTCCAAGCCATAGAGCCAGCGTTTGTCGAAAGACAATCTCCCGTGGTCACATGGCCAGTGCGACTTAGACACGGAATGCTGTTACCTTCCCACCGAGGTGGTCCCTGTTTATCTACTCGCATTTGCATGCTTTCGAACCGCTAGGTTGGTGGGAGCTGGGACAAAGTGACGTGAATTCGATCTTATGACTCTTGGTCTTCTGACCCTGCAGCACAGGCTTCTGCGGTTTAGCCTGCAGTGCCACCACGTCCCTCTTGTTTAATTTTAGCTTAATTGTTGTTCATCTATTCCCTTCCCTTCTTTTTTTTCTAAAATGCCAAAATTTATATGAGGAAGCAGTTCTGGAAACTGTAGTCTTTTGCCCATTCTAAACCAAATGAAGATAGTCCACCCCACCCCACCCCTAGCCTTTGGCTCTTAGATTCTTATACAAAATTTTAAGTTTTAGGAAAGGCAACATCTGGTCCACCAGGTGTTATTGGATTTCAGCTCTCCTAATCCCTCACCTTTGACTATGCTGGTGAGGGTTACTGGCAATTGCAGTCCAGAAGTAACTGGAGCACCAGAAGTTATTATTATTAT